ATATTTTCGTCCGATTTAAGGTAAACGTGGCACCAAAGTACCTATATATCTTTCGATTTCCACGAAATTTGGCATAGCGTACTTAACTAGGTATAGAATGATGTATGTTAAGTTTCCTGAAAATCGGTTCAGATTTAGATATAGCTCCCATATATATTTTCGTCCGATTTAATTTAAATGGTGCACCAAAGTCCCTATATATCTTTCGATTTGCACGAAAGTTGGCACATCGTAATCAATTAGGAATATAATGGTGTGTGTTAAGTTTCCTGAAAATCGGTTCAGATTTAGATATAGCTCCCATATATATTTTCGTCCGATTTAATGTAAATGGTCTACCAAAGTCCCTATATATCTTTCGATTTGCACGAAATTTGGCACTGCGTTATGGATGAGGTCTGGAATGATGTGTGTTAAGTTTCCTGAAATCGTTGAAATCGGTTCAGATTTAGATATAGCTTCTATTTCATCTGTTGAATATGCTCAAAGTGGTGAAGGGTATCATATAGTCGGCCCCGTCCGACTTTACTACTTTCCTTACTGGTTTTTTTTTGCAAAACTGCTTTAAAGTTGTCTCATGTTTTGTTTACGCTTTTTTGGTGATTACGTGAACTTTTTCAGGTTTTTTGTTTCCATTTTTGCCATTCGTATTGATATTTATTTCAAATTCCCAAAACAGAAATGTATTTAATGTATTTTTTGTCTGTGTCTCTCTCTCTATTCATTTATTATTTGTCTGTGCTGTGTTTTTTTGCGTTTTGTTTGCCGGTTGAATTGTCTCTGTGCGAATACGATTTAACTTTCCATATATGAGAATTTTAGAAAAAAAAAACACACACACAAAAACAACAAAATAATAATAAATAAACTCAGCTGACATAAAAAAGTTCAATTTCTATTTCTAGATGTTTGTTGTGAGATCATCAGCAGTTGGCTGCCGGTTTTGTCATTTGATAGCATTTTAATTGCAATGAAATTTTGTCAGGCATTACAAAATGCGAAAAAAAACTGCTAATTTTAATTATTTCCGATGGTATTAAAAAAATTATTAATGATGGAATATATAAGAATAATATAACTATTGGGAGAGACAATAATGGAGGTGACCAAAAATTAATTGTACTTGGATTTTTTAATGAGGTCTATTAGAATTTTATTTAATTAATTAAATTAATTTTATTTATTTTATGAACTTTAAATTTTAGGCTAATATTATACCATATTATTTTTAAATTTTGAAAAATACTACTGAATGAAATTATGGGTCTTGACACCAAAAGGATGATAATCAGAATCACCAACACGTTTGCAGAATCGATGCCGAACCAAAATTTGTTATAGGTTATCATAACTTCAACAAGGATAAGCTCCATATCCTCGTCGCTTTATTACTTTTAATATTCCCATCATGTTTTTTTTCTTTTAAATAAAATATATATTTATACATTTTCCAAAATTTCTATTTCAAAATATTAACTTTTGCACTTGTAAGAACATTTCATGTAAATGTTCTCAGCTAAAATAACAAAAATAATACAAAAAAACAATAATCTCCATAAACAATGATATTTCATTTAGCACTTATTTCACACATTGCTGAATATATTATATATAGTTTACAATGGGCTTTTGTTTATACGCAAAACCCAAAAACAACAACAAATTCCAAAATTTTATATGAACTACTTTTGCGGTGTATCATTTTTATGAATGGTCATTTAAATTGCCATTTGTTTACACCAAACCAAAAATCTAAATGGGCATTTGGCCAGAAAATCATTTTGAATTCATCTGTTTTACACCCGCTTCACCCCTAACCCCCTTGGGTGGTTTTAATAATGAACCATCAACCATCGTGCGTGCTTGTACTGTTTGTTTTATTATCCATAATTTATTGCAATCATAAAAAAATTCTAACGAAATTTTGTGTGAATACACCACAACTACAAAACATTTAAATATTCAGATGGGTAGGACTATATTAAACCACAGTATGTGGAAATTAAAAAAAAACTCATACTTGTTTTTGAGAATGTATTTAAAATCACAGTTTAATTATTTTAAAAATTTGATACCGAACTACAGACAATTAGGCTGGAAAACTGAGCTAGAAACTCCATCGTACCGTAAGCAGAAATTTTGGCATATAAAACCAGTAAGGAATGTCGGACGGGGCCGACTATATGATACCCTTCACCACTTTGGGTACATACAAGAGATGTTAATATCTACAATATTCTGTAGATAGAACAGACATAGAATCTTTGGAGGACCATTGAGATGGAAATGGGCGTAATTAAATGTGCTATCTAGATAGATATTTGAACCAATTGAAAACCCCCATACACATACCATTTTGAAATCAATGAAAAATTGCATGTCAAACGGACAGACTTGGATTCTTTGGTGTACCATTTGTATGACATCGAGTCAAATTATGTATGGGCGCTATATATAAACACATGGACCTAATTGAGCAACCGTTGCATACACCATTTGCTTTTGTTATCACTTTATATTCAATTTAATACCCTCTGGCAAATTTCTTGTAAATCAAACAGACATAGGCCCTTCGGTGCACATTTACATAAAATCGAACGAAAATATATAAGACCTAAGTCAAAATCTTAACCGATTTCAACAAACCTTATCGCACATCATACTTTCCTCAATTGCATTCGATATGCAAAATTTTGTTCCAATCGGACAAATATTGGGAGTTTGGTGTATCATTCACATTAAATCGGACGAAACTATATATGGGACCTATGTCTAAATCGGAGCCAATTTTAATGAAACTTCGCAGACATCAGTCTGAACATAATACAATACGCTGTGTAAAATTTTATTCCAATCGGACAAATATTGGGAGTTTGGTGCATCATTCACATAAAATCGGAAGAAACTATATATGGGAGCTATATCTAAATCTGAACCGATTTTAATGAAACTTCGCAGATATCAGTCTGGAACTAATTTAGTACGCTGTGCAACATTGTTTTCTCAATTGGTCAAATATTGGGAGTTTGGTGCATCATTCACATAAAATCGGACTAGACTATATATGGGAGCTATATCTAAGTCGGAACCGATTTTAATGAAACTTTGCAGACATCAGTCTGAACATAAGTCAATACGTTGTGCAAAATCTTGTTCCAATCGGACAAATATTGGGAGTTTGATGCATCATTCACATAAAATCGGACGATACTATATATGGGAGCTATATCTAAATCTGGACCGATTTTCTCTAATTTCAATATGGTTCGTCCTTGGGCCAAATAAGTGAACTGTGCAAAAATTCATCCAAATCGGAACATAAATGTGACCTGGACTTTGTTCACAAAAATACATGGACGGACGGACATGCGTAAAGCAACATAGATAGAGATTCTATGCATATTATAAAAATGAACCATGGGTCTATCTCGATTCCTTTTGCCTGTTACAAACATATGCACAAAGACATAATACCCAGTACCACAGTGTGGTGAAGGGTATAAACATTGGCCACCCCTTCACCCCAAAACATTTTTTTAAAGAACAAAACATTTTTTTAAAGAAACCCACGCCTTCAAAGTTGCCCCAAATATTTTTTTAAAGAAACCCACGGCTTCACATTTACCCAATAAAATAGTTGAAGAAATCCCCGCCTTCATAGTAGCCCCAAAAATATTTAAAGAAATCCCCGCCTTCACTCTTGCCCCAAAAAATTATTTAAAGAGATCCACGCCTTCACAGTTGCCCCCAAAAAATATTCAAACGAATTCACGCCTCCAAAGTTGCTCACAAAAAATTGTTTAAGGGGACCCCCCATTCTCGATGTCAATTTTTTTTTTTATTTAATTCGAATTTACACTAGTTCAAGAATGTTCGTACAAAATTTCAAGTGAAAATCTCAAGACCTCTTGAAGCCGATTTATTGTGTCAGAATTATGTGACGGCTAAACGGCTTTTCAAACTTTAAACGCGTTTTCTCAAAAACCGGCGTTTTTCCAAAAATATTTTTTCAAAGGTCCGCCATTTTGTTATTTTAAAGGGAAGTCAATAATCCTAGTTTATACGAGAGCCAGACATGTACTCTTTCTAACACCGTTGGAATTTTCGGATTCCGATGTTCCTGTGAGGAGTTATCATGCCCGTCATCAAAAATAAGGACTTGTCTTTAATTACAAAAAACAACAACAAAACAATAACAAACATTTTTTGTAAATTATTTTTCTTCTCTTTTAAATCTTCAAATATATATGTGCAAAGTTACAAACCTTAACAAGCATTGGTATTGATTTACAAGCCCATTGAAAATCTTGAAAAATTAATGGAAATCCAAAATTTGGATTTTATTCCATTTTTTTTCAAATGAATTATCCATCCTCATATAAATGGATGGATGGTTGTCCATAATGATCTCAGCCGCACATGTGGCCTAAATTTTCATTTAATTTATGAAATTTTTTTAGTCGGACAGCAAATGATTTTACAGTATGTCTGGCATAAATTTTGCAATGTAGAATGATTATGTGAAAAAATTGCAACAATGTTAAACAAATCTACTTTTATGAAAACGACACTAAATGATACTGTAAATTATTAATGTCAGACTATAATATTTCAAATATTTAAAACATTTTGAATTAACATATTTTTGTTTTTTTTTCTCTTTACAGATTGACCAACAACAATAAAAACAAATATTCTTCAGCAAAGCTAATGGAATTTCAACAACAAAATCGACTGATTTTTGCCTATTAAATTTTTTACAAAAGGAAAAGCCTGCAAAAAAATTTTATATTATACAACCAGCAGCGACCAACATCAAAATTTAGCTACAACATTTTTTTGGATAAGATAAACAAAAGTTTCCCTTTATTTGGAAGCTTTAAAATTTGAAAGAAAAAAATCTACAACGCAAAAACGCCACGCCTTATTTATATACCAATAAAGTATTTGGCCATCCCTGCCTTCATCCCTATACCCAAATTGTCCTATCTCTCCCCCCTCCATTCTAACAAAGACGGCAACCCAAAGGAATGCAGCGTTGTCCCTACATACATGAAATGCGAGAACGTTTATTGAACGATCAAAATCGTGAATCATTACCACTCGAACAAATGGAGCGTGCAAATCTTTTGGACAATAGACAATCGGCTGAATTGCAACAGGTCGGCACTATAGTCAAGGTAGGGGCCAGAACTACAAAACTACTCGATACAAGGATTTGTTTGCAATTTCAAATGTTTTTTTCTTTAAACCTTTTCCAATGAAATTTAACGAATTAAACACTAGTTTCTTTCTTTACAAAATTTTGTAATTATGAATTTTTACAGTTTATGTTGTTTTGCTGCTGTGTTTATACTCTCGTTAAAAAAATATGAATAAAATTAAACCAAAACATAAACCTTTTACAGACCCAAAAAATTACCACAACAACAGTCATCATACAGAAATAAAAGTACCAATGAAAAAACAAACTACAACAAAAACAAAAATTAAAGTTAATATCCTTGCACGAGTAATGGTTGGCCCTTTATCTTTAATTAATTATTATGATTATTATTGTTATTATGTTTAAGTTTTATAATTAAGTTGCTCAACTCATCATTCAATCTATCAATCAAACAATCAATCATACGAAACATGACATACATTATTGACACATTTGTTTCATATTTTACATTAGGTGTGTTTCTCCCCAAATGGGAGATGTCGAATAAATTAATTTATATTAATTAAAATATGCTAAACATTTGTTTTAATTTATGCTGACAAATATATTTTAGCGTCCTGAGGTATTTAGTGAAATTTGAAATATGACGCAAAATTCCAAAAGGGAAAACACACCTAATATCTTAACATTGTATATATGACATACATAAATACATTTCATGCTCTGTACTTCATCTCATTCAATTGGATAACATTACAGACATATTTCATTTATAAATTTTAACACTTGTAAATTGGAATTGAATAGTTTTCGTTAAAAATTAAATTTTCTCAAAAATCACTCCAAAAATTTTACACCAGAAAACCGCTACATATAAATATTGGATATGTATTATTTTATTTAAATCAATAAATTTTAGCGAAATAGTAACATCACACAGGGGAACAATTTACAAATGCAATATATATTCAGAAACCAGTTAAAAATCAAACTATTGATTATACCCTTAACCTTATGGCTAATGAGGGTATATACACTTTGATACGGTGGAAATGAGTCTCATCGGTATATTGGTTTAAGACCCCATCTTTCTTTGGACCAAATCTCCACTCCTTCTGATACCTTCCCCACAAAGGGTAAAAATTTTCAATATTTATAAATCTAATATCAGAAGATGGTAATGTCCGAGTTGACCCAAACGTTTCACAACCTATTATCTTTACCAAGCCTAGATCAAGTCTGAAGGCGGGACCCGTCTGCCCTCTCCTCTGGTACATGCTACAAAAAGGGTCAAGGTTTGATCAACATAAAATCCGAAACATTTTCAATTAAATATATGGCTTAAATAGAACGAATAATAAAACCTGTGTATAAATCCGAAGCAGTGATGCCGGTCGAAAAAAAATCTTACGCCCAAAATTTCTCCTAAATAGTGCACAAAATCAACAATTTAAACTAAACCAGTAAGGAAAGTCGGACTGGGCCGACTATATGATACCCTTCACCACTTTGGGTATATTTTACTTATGTGAACGAATTTCAATATGTGATATTTATCTATATCTAAACCGACTAACATCAATCAGACATACATTTATTATTTGGTGTACAATTTACATGAAAAAGTCAAAATTATTTATGGAAGCTATGCTACATCTGAACCGATTTCAAGGAACTTGGCCAGCGATCAAATTATATTAACTTCAGTACGTTGTGTCAATCGGCCTAGCTATGCATCTTTAGTGCACTATTTACTTAAAATCGGACGAAAATATATAGGAGGTGTATGTAAATCTGAACCGATTTTGACGAAATTTGCATACATCATTCTATTCTTAATTCAGTACGATATACCAAAATCGAAACATATATGGTTACTTTAGTGCATCATTTCCATAAAATCGGACGAAAATATATATGGTAGCTAAATATAAATCTGAACCGATATTCACGAAACTTTGCACACATTATTCTAGACTTAATTTAGTACGTTGTGCCAAAATTAGTGTAAAAGATTTGCAGGGACCTTGGTTGTTTTTTACTTAAATCGGGCGAACTTATATATGGGAGCTATATCTAAATTTGAACCGATTTTCGCGGAACTTAGCACACGTCATTCCAGACCTAATTCAGTAGGCTATACCAAATTTCGTGCAAATCGAAGGATATATAGGGAAATTGGTAAACCATTTACCTAAAATCGGGCGAAACTATATATGGGAGCTATATGTAAATCCGAACCGATTTCCACGAAACTTGGCACACATCATTCTAGACCTAAGTCAGTAGGCTATACCAAATTTCGTGCAAATCGAGAGATATATAGGGACTTTGGTACACCATTTACCTTAAATAGGACGAAAATATATATGGGAGCTATATCTAAATCTGAACCGATTTTTCCAATTTCAATAGGGTTCGTCCTTAGGCCAAATAAGTGAGCTGTGCCAACTTTCATCCAAATCGGATCATAAATGCGACCTGTACTTTGTTTACAATTTAACATCAACAGACGGACGGACGGACATACATAATCGACTTAGAATGCATAAATCGACCCTGTACCACAGTGTGGTGAAGGGTATAAAAAGTCACGATTTGAAAAAGTAAAATAGTTTTCTTTTTATAATATTTGTTTCAAGAATTTGTACTAATATTTATACACTCAGCCTTATGGATTATACACTTTCCTACGGCAAAATGTACCGCATCAAATTATTCATTTTAGAACCTATGTGTCTTTGGACCAAATCCATTTCAGACAATTTGGAGTCCAATATAAGTCTGTCTGGATGGCTGGTGCACACGATAACTTTCGAAGAGAGTAACCGATTTCATCCAAACTTTGCAAAATTTTTCTTCCAAACTTAAATAAAATTCGGAGATGGGGAATATCAAACCACTCCTTCTGGGACCTCTCCCACAAAAATGTTGGTGAACATAATTTTATAAGCTTTGTAAAACATAATATTTTAAACAAGCCGTGAAATATGGTCCACTAATTCTGTACATACCCATGAAAGGGTCAATATTTGGAAAATTGAAGCGAATGGATTATCTATTTTGTCAAACTTAGTCCATCGTAATATTTTTAAAGCCTAGATCAACTCCAAAGATGGGATTCATCGATTCTGGTACATCATCAAAAAGTGTCCAAATGTTCAGTATTTATAAACCCAATATTAGGCGAATGGAATGCCCGATTTGAACAAGGCAAATTTAGGACAATTATCGGCTACCAGCATCTGTAGTACATCCACCACAAACAGTCACAATTAAGGGGACCCCCTATTCTCGGGGTAAACAGTTTTGTTGATATAATTCGAATCTACACTAATTAAAGAATGTGCTTACAAAATTTCAAGTGAAAATCTCAAGAACTCTTGAAGATATAGCCGATTTATTGTGTCAGCATCAAGTGACGGCTGAAGGGCTTCTCAAACTTTAAACGCGTTTTTCTCTAAACATTTTTTTTTGCGAATGGCGGGCACGATAACTCAAAAATTAATAACCCAATCGATTCCAAATTTTTACACGTTTCTCTGTGAGTGTATAGCTATCGTATGAACTAGGATAAAGCCAATCGGCGAAGACCTTCCTTATTTTTTAACATAGATTTTGGTCAAAAATCGGCGATTTTCCAAAAATTGTTGATGTTATGTCAGGGCTGTGCGGAGTATGACCCATTAATTCCACGTTATTGTCGGTCAAAAAGGCGAATAGCCAACTCGTCACTAGTTTAGCCGAAATTTTGTCAGGCTGGGAATTAGATCCATAGGAAGTTAAGGTACTGTGGTGGTTAATTTTGCTTACTGGTTCAAAGTTATACACTATGGGTCAGGACCAGACGACCATTTACTTGAAGTATTTCTTCCACAAACAAATTTCGTTCGAAGTACTCGTAACCTGTGACAAACTTATACATGTCCTTCAAAGCTCCGCAATCGTTTTTTTTTTTTTTTTTTTTTGGACCAATCGAAACGAGAACAAATCTCATTCAAAGGATGATATTATGCACTATAGTGTGCCTTATTCGATGGACTTCTTCATAATCGTTTGAACAAAAATTGTAGGATGATTTCCACCTGAGGTCCCGAGTTTCTGGAAAGAATATTTTTAATCACCAGAAATCGGGAATGCCAAATTACAGGGAATTTGGTGATAAAATACATTCCAAGAACCCGATATGCCAAATTACAGCCAGTTCGTTGGGGAATTCAACTCAAACTTTCAAAACACCGAAAATAGAGCGGGGACCTTTGTATAAGGACTATGCCAAAAAATGAACCTATAACAGGCTATTTTTGCGAAACATAGCTGTTTGGTTTGCAATGCGACCAACACCTTCAAATTAATCGAAAATGGTACCATATGGGACATTTGTCATACCAATATATGGGAATATCATTTCAAAGCATTATCTTGAAGTCAACCCAGGTCTGAACTATACGATAATGGACTGTTATGAAATTCTACGCGCAATGATAAAATAAAATAACAATTGAAAAAAGCGTAGATTTGGCTAGGTCGAACTGACAATTAATTAGGAAAAACAACAATAATGTTGACATATCCCGATATTTCTTAACCTGCAAAACACCTTCATTGCAGCAACTTTTTATGGTAAATTTTCATAAAATTTTATAATAACATAGATTAATATTTATTGGCCCATGATTTGGGTGGGGAAATATGGAAACCAATGAAATTTCACAATTCGGAATTACAGCATTGCGGAGGAAATCCATCATCAAATCCTTCAAAATACGCAAAATTGGGGGTACTCTAAACGAGGACCATTCATGATCAGTTTCCATCCAGTGAGAGCTCCAAATATTACATTATTGTCAATTCTTTTTAAAACGTGTTCAATATCGTGAATATACCGAACATTTATAGGTACCGTCATAGGGGGTAATAACTTAAAATGGATCGATATTGATAAACGGAATTACCGAGTTGATATACCCTTCATATTATGGTGGACGGTTCTGAATTAAATGTCCACATTTTTAAGAATCCTTAACATCAGATCCTAGAAATTGACATTAATTGCCATGGGGGAAATACACTTAGTGTATCCATATGTATCATTTTAATTAAGATTGTGTTTCCTGATCAAAAATATATAGATTCTATAGAGTCGGAAATTAGTATTTTGACGACTTATGTCCAGATTTTAGGTGTCTTTTTATCTGACCCTAGAAATTGACATTAATTCCAATGTGTTTATTTAGGAGTTAAAACTTGTTAATTGAACTGCAAATAAAATTTGTTCCTCTGTATGAAAACAATTACAAAAAAAAAAGAAAAAAACAAAAAATTAATTAATTCAAATATAAAGTAAAACCCTTTTTTCACAAATTGTTTTGCATAATTTATTCAATTCGATTATGCATGATTTTTAGAATTTTTATCTTTTGTATAAATTTATAATTTAGCATATTTATTAAATTTAATTTATTAACCCATTTCTTAACATATGCAAATTTTATAGATATGGAACTGAAATTGACTTGCAAAATTTATTGATATAAATTTAAAATTTCGTCATAAATCAAATGGGTTAATGAGTACAAAATTTTCGATTAGAATATTGTAAATACCCGCATTTGCCATATATCATTTTTAGAACAAACAAAATTCTTTTCTTTATTAAAATTGTTTACATTCCAAAAAAACAACAATAAGAAAATCAAATCTCTTTAGTTTATATTCAATTCCAATTTTCTTTGAATGCCTTTGGTCGTATGTGTTGTTACATCCAACGTTATATAAGTTTTTGGTTCGTGTGTGGAACCTGTAACCATAACAATAACTCTGAATGTTGTTGAGTGATTTGTAAAAAAACTATCAGACTTGCATCGGACGAATTTTACAATAAACACAAAATAACAAGTTTCTATATTTTTCTTCTGTTTCCCCCATACACCACCCTCTTTATGCATAACAAATGTTCATAATTTTTGACCTCCACTTCGATGCCGACATATGCCGCACACCATAAACAAAAACAATGCTGCAAACATTTGTGATGACGACAATGATGTTGATCGAATGGACATAAATCATAAATCGATTCCCTTCTGTACTCGCACTCATCCAACCACCCACCAACAAACGAACAAAAATTTGTTACAACAAAAACAACATCACAAAAATATCCGAAACACTACATCTCTAAATATTTACAATTGTTCTTTGCTACAAATGAAATGTTGTATTTGATTAAATGCAATGCTACAGCTGCATGGCGATGGCTATCACACAAGTCCGGCCCATCAACGTACCCCATTGGTGCCACGTGATTTAGGTGAAGATTTCAATTTGGATTTCGATGATGATTTCCCCATAGAAGTAAGAAGGCCAAAAAATGCAAAGTGAGTATCAAAATTTGAATATTTACAAATATGTTCTCTGCTTATCAGTTATCCTTTTGTAAGGCTTTTGCTCTATTTTTAACCTCCCACAAGAAATCTAAAACTCCCAACCCAGTATTTTGAAGTAAATTTGAAAACAATTATTAATGTAAAATTTCATTTTCCTCTCTATATATTTTTTGGTATATATTTTGTGCTTGTTTAAAATAATTTTGTTGTGTTAAAAATTTCCTAACTTAAAAGTTAAAGAATTAAAGTTGCGTTAGAAAATTGAAAATATAAAAATGATTCCAAAATTTTGTTTAAAATGAAATTTTATGTTTTTACTAAATTATTTTCTTCTAACCAATCCAAAAAAATTGAACACTACAACGTTAAATGTTACTAGGGAATTAATCGATATTTGGGAAGTGTTAACTTGTTAAAAATTATTGAGAATACAAGTCCAATGCCCATAAATGTGGAAAATTATAGATGGAGGAAAAATAGTTCCACATGTCGGAATGAAGTTAATTATTTTGTAATTATAGAATAGGTCACGATATATTGTAGACGTTAAACCTATCCTAAGGGGATCTGGATAAAGAATAAGCATGACTAATTTAAAAAAAATTGGGTAAATATTTAGCGGATGAAATGTACTAAGGCTTTCTTGTAAAAAAATAAGAAATATGATGTATATGTTCACTTTGCTATTGATGTAGGAGGAATGATATGGTAGTGCAGTGGAAGCGGTGTAGGGTATTATATGGTCCGCACCGTCTGTCTATACTGTCCCGCTTACTGGTTTTTAACCTAAACGTATCCAGTTCAGTTTGACGTACGACCATGTATTGTGTTTTTTACAGGGACTTGAAAAATAACTTTGCAATAAAATCGGTATTAACTCGTGCATTACGAATCACGATGAACTTAAATATTTGTATGCTGATGAAGGCCATCCTATAAAACCTGGCCAATGAATTCAATCTTGGTAGATACCCACTTAAATAAAAGTCGTCCAAAAACGGTTTTGATGCCGTGCTGAAGTGCTAATGCCATGTGACATAGCGTATCATAGAAGCATCTTTGGGGACTTCTTTCGCCAGGATATATTCGATATTGCTTTAATACCTAGTCATAAATAATAGTTCTCGTTGGATTCGGTTTCGACAATTGTCCAACTTCGTTGGATGGTCAATTTAGAGTGGTACCTCACAATTTGTTCACCTGAAGTCTTCGAAGAAATATGAAAAACGGAACACAGACACTCCATTCTTGAATCTCGTTAGGTCAGTGTCCTCTGAATTAGTATCGATACCTATCAGTACTTCGTTGACACTTTTCTTTGTTTTCCTCTCCAGTCACCTCAAACATTTGCGCTCCAATAAATTATTTTCTTGGGAGTTTGTCATCTTCTCCTTGGCACCATCACCTTGAGTTAGGTTTTTGCCCCTTTTAGTAGAGGATTGCCTTTTATAGTAGAGGAATTTCCTTTTTCCTCACCAGATTGAGTTTAATTCCCTTCTTATGGAGACCAAGCCTCGTTCTCCTCACTTGAGGTTAATTCTCTCAGTTATGCATACAATAACTAGTAGTTTTTTCAGGTCTTCTATACTCTTTTAGGTCTCAAATTGAGGCATTAGGTAAGCGCCCTTAACGTCGAACCAATCCAGGTCGGTTGAGTATCAGCCTTGTAGCAGGTATTCCATGATCTTATTGCTGGTCTAGATAGGGCTACCAGTTATTGTCACTTTACTCTCTCGTACAGACTAGTTAGTCCACCTGAGATTCCCGTCTTTCCGATGCAGCGCTCGTCTTCTGGATACTAGTCGATAGATTCTCATGGTAGTCTCATTTTACTTTGGGTTTGCATATTCGACTGACCTGTTTTATACTTCTGGGCGTTATTCTGCTGTCCACTCTTGGTTTTCCGGTTCATCCAGGTCAGATTCCGCCTGTGTACCACAGATAGCTGCTTATTTTTTGCTGTGTACTAAGCAATATCATTGCTCACTTCTCACTCATCATTTGCTTCTTTGGCGGTACACCTCGATTATAAATGCCAAGAGAGCTACATTTGTTGCTCACGACCGCAGGATGGCAAACGGGCGTGACTCGTGGACAGATCAACGACGCCGACCGGCACTGAGTTATTTAGTTTATGCACGGGAAAATAACCTTGTCAGTGTTGGTCCGCGGATAATAAGCCCTAAAGGTCGGTGATCAAACTATCGCATTACCTCCAGGTTTAACTAACACCCTCAGCCTCTGTCTAATGATACGACAATATATGTCCCTCATCGAAATATCGTTTTTAGACAATATGGTGTAGATTTAGAAACGGCCTTTCAATTTGTTTTATGTGCTGCCTGACTGGTGCGCAGGATAGCTAAGAAAATGAGTAACCGGTTTATCCAAACTTTGCTCATCGCAATTCCCCTTCCAAGCTCAGATCAAGTTCGAAAATTAAAAAAAAAACGTTCACTCCTTGATACATCGCCCACAAAATGACCAAACTTTAGAGAAAAAAAAACGCAATATAACAGAAACGGAGAATTCTGCATAGCCTTAACTTTTCCAAACTGGTCAATCTTAAAGTGATCAGAATATAAATTACAATTTAGATAAATACGATTATTATACCTCTCTATAGAAATATTTAAATAATCGTGAACATTCAATTCAAAGAGTTGATTTTTTCCATATTTACGTAGTGTTCAATTTTAAATTTCAATCAAAAATACCTAACCGTCCATTTTTTTACTAACAAACTAACAATTAAAACGAATTACTAATAAAAACAATTTTTAATAAAAATCATGTTTTAATTTTTCGTTTGTTTAAATGTTTTTCTTTTTTGTTTCCTACTTTTTTTCTTTCTTTCATAATTTCTGTGTGTCAAAAACAAACTGTATGTTTCAATCTGTGTCTCTGTGTGTGTGCCCCATTATAACCATAACGAAAATAAAAAAATTGAATAAACCGCAAAAAATAAAAACAAAACTAATTTGAAATTCAAGTAATAACCAAGAACGAAAATCAGCCAGCACGAATCTGGAACAAGTTTCAGCATCACTATCAAAAAGGTTGGCAAACAAATAAAATTAAAATAAACGAATTAATCTAGAAAATTAGTGAATTAAGTTTTCTATCATTCTTTTGCCTATATACTTTTTTTAAAATAAATATTGGGTTTTGGAAAATTTCTTTAAGTAATTTGCATAGTTTACATAGTTTTGTTTCTAACACCATTTTTTATTAAATTTATTATTTAGTGTTTATAGTTCGTTGATATATTTATATTATAATTGTAATTATGATGGAAATCTCTTTGCCTCCAAACACCCGCTGTAACACATTTGGTGGAAGTCGAAAGAGGAAGGAATGTTTTCTATTCATTTGGAAGTTATTAGTTGGTGTTTTGTGCATGATTTGTATATGTGTGTTTGTGTGAATTTCATTACAACATGTTTTCAAACCACTCAACACATAATCTTAACACACCACATGTTCTTAAGCACTTGTTTTATAAAAAACCAAATGCACTTTGCACCCTAAACGTCACACTAATAGCAACAACATCACTCGGTTCTTAACTTGGGGAAATGTAGTTTTTTTTCCAGGGGACAACTAATTTCTCATATTCCTAATATGTTCATATATGTATATACACATAATACATATATTTGTACATACTCATATTTTTTAATTAAATGCTTTTCTACATAAACTTTAGTCTTATAAACATTTTATATATATCAAAACTATTTTTTACATTTATTTGACCCATGTACAAGGGCTACAACTTAAATTACTGGCCTAATAATGAAAGACGTGTGGTCTGTATACCGACAACAGGTCTTTATAAAGTCCAATTGATCCCAATACACCCCTATTTTCTCTACACAGACTAATTGGTCTTTATACAGGCCTTTGGTCTTTATAGAGGCCAATTGAGAATATATAGAGACCACAGGTCTGTCTAAAAACACACCGGTGGTTTCTAAAGACCTATGGTGTCCACAGACCTGTGGTATCTATAAACTACCAATCGGCCTGTCTACAGACCAATTGGTCTTTATAAAGGTCTGTGGTCTCTATACAGATCAATTAAACTATAAAAAACACTATGTCTATATATACACACCAATTGGCGTTCAATTTATCTGTATACAGGCCGATTGAAAGTGTATAGAGACCACAGGTCTTTTGAGAGACCATAGGTCTTTAGAAACCACAGGTGTGTTTTTAGACAGACCTGTGGTCTCTTTATATTTTCGATCGGCCTCTATACATACCAATTGGTATTTATAAAGACGTGTAATCACAAAACAGACCAAATTGTCTTAATCCAAATATCGCCAGAGATTTTTTTTCAATATCTTAAATTTAATTTTAAAACTTTAATATATAATATTAGGTTGGGGAAAAAGAACTCCATTATTTTTATATGAACTATAGGACTTTTTTTGAATCTAACTTTGTGTAAATGGTTTAAAACAGTTTCATGGTCAATTTTTAGCTCCCGGGCCATGTTACGTCTGATATTAAGACCCGTTTTGATATAGCCCCACAAAATGCGAGCATAAAAATAAGTTGTTCGGTTCTTCATCGGAACGACCATCAATTCCATTTTTTTGTCGGTCAAGAAAGCGCTGGTTTGATTCGATATGTGAGAGCTGGACATTGAACACAAAATGGTTCGCCATCGTTTTTCTTTTGTTTTTGATGTTTCCCCAAAGACCTCAGAAAAATCCGTAAGGAAAGTAGTAAAGTCGGACTATGCCGACTATATGATCCTAAAGATTTATGTATCCTAAAAGATTTTTTTTTCGAAGAAAAATTTAAATGAAATTGAACGAACTTAAATATGTGATCTTTATCTATATCTGAACCGACTAACATCAATCCCTACACATGTCATTCTGCAATCTATGCTAAATTTTGAAAATGCTATGCTATGATGCACTATTTACCTTAAATCGGACGAAGATATACATGGGAGCTATATCTAAATC